TGCGGGCGGGCGGGCGCCCCCAGCGCGGAGCATCCGCCGGCGCGCAGGGCGCCCCGCGAGCGCGATGGGGCGCGCACCGCGGCTCGGGCTCGTCCTGCTCGCTCCGCTGCTGCTGCTGCTGGTGTGGGTGCCGGTGCCGCCGGCGCTGGCGCAGCGCAGCTCGGGCGGTGCCGCCAGCAGCAACGGCTCGCAGAGCTTCGCCGTCGTCTCCTTCAAGTGGCACCACGTCAAGGACCCCTATGTCATTACGCTCTGGGTGCTGGTGGCCAGCTTGGCCAAAATCGGTGAGTCCGGAGTTATGGCTTTGGTTCAAGTCGTGTTGTCATGTGTCCGTGCTCTCCTTTCTCCTCCCTCCCCCCCATGCCTGCTCCCACCCCACGTAAGGGAAGAAAGCTTATCGTGAGTCCACTGACCCGTTTTCAGGGGTTTTACTGTACTCTGTCCTGATTTCATAATACTGCCCTCCGCTGTGCTTAGCAGTGTGGTTTTCACCCGCCCCCGAGGGTTACCTGGTTCGTCTTCAGCACCTGAGCCTGTGGCCTCTCTGCTTGGCTTCTTGCAAGCCCCTCATCCTCCCTGATTCCCTGGGAAAGGCTCCCGTGGAGCAGGGATCGCGCCCTGCCGCTTCTCCGACTGCGCCCGCTATAACCGCTTGTAAGGTGCCGTCCTCCTGCCCGTGATGGGTGGCTGTGCCCGCTACCACGCTTCCAAACCAACATTCCCAAGGAGGTTTGCACGGGCTTGGCGGTGGCTCTGCCGTGCCTTGCTGGAAGGAGAGCCAGGAAAGAGAGGTTGTGGAGAAAGGTGCAGGGCGCTATCGGGCTGTAGACCGTGGGCTTCMGAGCATGCAGAGTTTCCCTCAAGAGAACAGCGCATACACGTGAACTTCCTTCAGTTGCTCAGTCCTCGCTTTCTCATTTGCTCTAACTCCTGCATTCTGAAACACCGGACTTAGCCAAAAAAATGATCTTGAATTAACATGCCTCTAAAATCCATCTCAACTAAGAAGGCACTATCAACTGAAAATCCCTCAAAAGCCTTTCTGTATTTGTGTTGATAACACTATTTGGAGATAGAGTCGTCTTCTCTGGACCCTGCTTGTCACACAGGATCAGGGATGTAAATAGACAGCACAGGGAGGCACTGCCTAATGCACAAGCTAAATGCAGTAACGTTTGGGTGCAAAGTGCTGTCTCCAAATACAAATAAACCCAAATAAAACAATTAAAATTGAGGGGAAAGCTATTAACGGGTGATCTTAGTTTCAGGTATTTATCTGCCCGTATATAACTTTAATATCTTATCTGATTCTCTATTGGACTACACCTTGTAARTACTTTATGTTCAGGTGGTTGATGCATTAATGAGATTTCAGGAAAAAAAAAACACGTTGATTTAATTGACTTTTATTGATGGGCTGTATGAACTAGAAAGAAGGGGCAGAACAAACATAGGGGGGAAAAAAAAAGTGACTATGTTAATTCCCTGTAAACTTGTCCTAAGATGGCTTTCTAGTTTGAATACACATTTTGACATATTCTTTAAAATTAATATTTGGTTTTGTAATTAAGGTCTGATTGCTTTATGCTACTGTCTATTATTATGATGCTGCTATCAGGGATGTGTCATAGATGCTATAGAGGGAGCATTAACAGGACTATGAGTTTGTCTTGTATTTGGACTGCAATGACCTGGATTAAGATGAGCTCTTATACCATGAAGTACTTGGTATAACTATAAAGTCTTGATAAAGCACTAAGTGTTCTGGAGTAATGCTGCTCAAAAAACAAGGACAGAAGAAAAGTCCTGGAACGGAGTGCCTCTGGTTGTAACTTAAATTATTTACTCTCCTTTCACAACTACACAGAGCTTGTCACCTACTGGTAGACAACATCTATCACTATTTTCTGCACCAGTTTTCTTCCCCAAGTCCCTCAGACTTAATTCTCTTCTCTTTTCTCTGCACATTTCTAACTGTAATGCTGTCCTCCTCTGGCCACGGTCTCTGAAGAAGCAAAGGACAACTGCTGTGCTCCTCTGAGAGCCTGTGACCCCTCTTGGTTTCCCCACTAGCCACGAGTAAAGTACAGATGAGCAGAAATGTGCACTTGCTGTCCAACAGCTGCCTCATGCTGAAAGCATGGAGGGGTCCACACAACCCGATGGGAAAGGGCGCTGAAGGACAAGGAAGCCCATCAGCCTCCTAACRGCCAGGGTGTGTCAAGGGCTCTGGAGAGCAGACCTGAAGGTTTTGAAGATGGATGAAATGCCAAGACCAAGAAGACTAATTCTAAAAGCACATATAGAAGAACTGAGGAAGACGCACAATATTGTCCCTCTGCCTCTTGGTTTGGTAACTGAATGGAGGAGAAAGAGCTCAACCACAGACTGTGTTGAGTTTTATTCAGCAGGKTTGAGGGGTCGTGCTCACATTCCTTGCTCCTCAGTGGATACAGAGGCTTGTAGGGATGTTTTATTGGTGGATAGGTTTTGATAGTAAGTGGGTTAGCAAATAGCCTCTTGGGAGTTGCAGCAGTTGACCTATTACTGAAAGCTCAAGATGAAAATTGTACAAGAAGATCTTGCATTCTTTTGCTTTAGGATTTTTTTTTTAAGGTTCATTTTGGTATTTTATGTGTCTTGGGGGAGGGTGCAATTTAATTCATGTGGCTTTGCTGAGACTTGATATTCCTTGTTGTGTACCTATAGAATACAAACTAGCTCTGACATTGTGTTCTGTAACAAACTATTGCTTGTGAAGCCTTCTAAGCATCTGAAATATTATGAACTTTCTGGAGAAGAAGCCACTTCTTTCCCATTCCTCCTCTTTTTTTTGTGGGGAAGCTAAGGGGAGGAAGCAATTCTATGTATGGCTGCAAATAAAACTGTGGAAGAAGACTCTTTATACACCTGGCTTTCACGCACTAAAGGAAAACAATAAATTTATCTCGTGTCTACTATAAAACTTCTGATGCCTCTCAGGGTATGGTTCTACATATGATAAGTGGTTTGAGTTGATCATCATCATTTGAAGTGCACCAACTCTTYATTCTAAGGTACAGAGTGTTCCACTTCGGCTAATGATCTTTATTTCCGCTTTTGATAGGCTCTCTTATCACTGCTAATGAGTGTCTTTATGGGATAAGGCTAGTAAACTACTCACATGTGTCAAGTTAATCCTTAAAAACATCTTATCTGCATGAAGAAGGTACGCGAGGAACACCTGAGATGCCTTCCTACTGGGCTGCAAGAGTCCATTTCCTTCTACCCTGCTTTTCCAAATGGAAGAAGCAATTCCAAAAAAAAAAAAAAAAAGACCCACACATGTCCAAACACAGCGTATGTGTTTCATAAAAATACATACAAATAAACACACATTTAGTTAGAGATGGGGTCTTTTCCTAATATAACTATGTTTAAAGGATGTAATTTTTTATCCAACATACTTGCACATTATAGTCCTGACTTAAGATTAAAGACGTGCACCCTGACTAGCTTTATGCATGCCTTCTAAAGCCACTKCTCCATATTCTTGCCTCTTTTTTTATATGTCTTCAATAGAGCAGATCTTGAAAATAACTCTTTAATACAAAGGAATGTACATAAATGCAGCTAGAGATGTGCCAGAAGTAGAGGAGAAATAAAAAAAAAAAAACTTTGTAAACAGGTAGAAGGAAAGGAAAAGTAAGCTCAAGAAAGGGTGATGGAAAATTAAAGTCTAGGAAAGAAATTGTTTCTGTTCAGAATAACAGACGTTCGGGGTGAGTTTTTTTTTTTTTTTTTTTAATCAATGGAATATGCTTTCTACTAGGAGATGTTCACTGTATGTTAATTTATTTGCTCGGAATACCAGGAGGAAAAAGATTGTACTTATATTTTCATTTAGTACTAACTGGAGAACTCATTGTAAAATGTCTGTATGTGGTTTACATCCTTTTGTGCAGTAGCGTTTTTCAATAGAATAGTTAATTGCTTATCCTGCAAAAATAAAAACTATAGAATACATCTTGTTTTTCTCTTTTTGCAGCAGTAATGTGATGGGTGCCAGTGCAGCTCTTTGCATTACCGACCTGCAGTCTGAATAGTAAAATTCACTGCCTTCACCTCGGTCATCTTACCAGGTCTTCCCCAAGGAAAGTTTTACTGGTGTAATTGTCCCAGTGTGGTCAGATTGGTTAGATTAAGCTAATTGCTTGTGCTAAAAGGGTCATCCCACTTTTCCTTTCTTCTTCATCTCTCTGTCTTGTGTTTGCACCAGTGCCAGAAACCACCTGAGAGAGAAAGTGCCCAGCTGTACTCGCTCACCCCGCCTCACTGCATACACTTTTCATCTTCAAGGTAGTCTTTCTACCTATTTAGCTCCCCRAATTTGCTTACTGTGGATCAGATAAGCATTGCAGATTGTGTAAAAGAAACTAGGAGTGTGGACAGCAAAGGGCAGGAATGGGGAAGGGTACACTGCCCTTACATTATCTGATTCGAACCTCTTTGCCYATTTTGCCAGTGTTGATGAAGGGCAGCTGGTAAATCTGTCTTCAGAAATGCCACAGCTTTTCAGAGGAGTGGGAAGGCAGGTTTCAGTAGTAGTGAACACTGTCAAGAAGGCTGCCTCAATGGTATTTTAAAAAGATGTCCATCGTGCCTAAAATATTGTAACATTCATTCTATCTCCGACCTTGTAGCAATACAGCTTTGTAGTCTGAAATGGCAGCATGAGTCCTACCAGCTTCTTTTGCTGAAATCCTGAGGGCAAACTAYCCTGAAATCAAGGTTTATTGCAAAGTTTACTATTACACTTCCAAATAAATTGACTACATGCCCAGGATCCTTCATATTGCCTAGAACTACTCTGAGAACTGATATTAATTGAGAGAAAAGAGCTTTTCAGATGGGGCATTTAGTTAACACCAGCATTGCCTTGGAGAATTTTAAGCATGTTAGGGATGGGCTAACGAAGAAGCTGTGAAATGCAGGACTAACAACCCTCCCAATTCAGACCCCTGGGCACTGTTTTCTTTAAAGAAATCATTACCCCTTGCTCCAGAGCCAACTGTCAGAACAAARGACTGTTTCAGCCTAGGTTGCTCCTCCTGGCATTTTAGCAGTAGTGAAAATAGCCAATTACTCAAGGAATAAAAATAAAAATGTGAGCATAACTGTCCTGCTGGCCACTCTGTGTGTCAGCTTTTTTACCTGTGGGAGGAAATGTTGAGAGATGCTTAGCAGAACTTTATGGGAAACACGTAACTGAAAGGGCGTGTGCGACTCTCAAGGTGAGGATACT